CAGTCTGGTCTGCAGAGTGAGTTCCAGGACATCCAGGGCTACACGGGGAAACCCTGTCTTGAAACAGACAAAAAGAAAAAGGAGACACACTAAATCATTCAGCACAGAACATTGAGGGGAATTCTACTTTTATGCCACACCAACAGAGAAAGGATATTCTAACTTCTCAGCTACCTGCACTAAAGTAGGCAGACACACCACCCTTTTAGAGACTTTACCGGCCCTGTATTGTCTATATTTCTGGGCATGATAGCCACTGCTGCAAGCCAGTTCTCTGTAGGCTGCATTCCTGCATCATGCATTGCAGTTTATGTTCTTCAATAAGCAGTTGTTGTTATTATTAGTTTATCTAGTGTTATGCAAACACTATACATAAATATATACATGTATATGTATATATATATGCACACTGGAAAACAGTTGGTGTGGAATCTTCTTGAAAATCAAAAACAGAGCTAAAAATAAGTCATTAACTTTTATGTGTATAATTATATATTATGACATGGAATGTTAGCTGATGTCCAAATATCCCTCCATTCTTACTGAAACAAGGGAGCCCAAATAGCCCCCAAGAAAATACATTAGGACACACACACACAAACACACACACATGCGCACACACACATTATCAACACTCACTTCCCAGCTTGCTAATCTTACTACATCTGACAAGGCAAATTATGTATTTAGAAAGAAATTATATCTTATGCAATAATTCTAGAGAGATCGTGTACTTTCTAACATACGAAAGGAAAAGAGAACGACAAAGCAGGAAGCTCTGAAATGCTGAAGACAGCATCTAGAGATTGCTTTGTCTTCACCATACAGATTGGAAGGAGGAGGGCTGAGGCTCAGAAGTCCCAGGACATGAATCCTGGACCTTGCTCTGAGCACCTTTTGACCCCTGCCCTGTTCGTGCCAACCTCCTCAAGCTGTACCTGCCCCATCTGGTCAGTTCAGTGAGTGCCCTTCCACCACCTGCCCAAGAACACACAGCATGGTTCTCTGCCGTCTCCTGGCCTGGCCCATGATGCTTCCTACGTACAAATTTCAAATGGATGGATTTCAGATGATGGAGTCTTAGTAGTTCAGTGACAAGGCTGGATTAGCACATGGAGGTCCTAGGTCTCTTCCCCAGCAGCGTACGGAAGGGGTGGGGACTGAGAAGGGGGCAGATTCAGTAAAGTACTTGCTGTGTTCACCTGAGGAGCTGACTTCATCTTCAGTCCCTTTACAAAGAGCCAGACGAGGTTGCAGGCACCTGCAGCCTCTGAGCTGGAGAAGTGGAGAGAGAGGAGCCCTGGGGCATAAGCTGAACTTGCGAGTTTTCATGTTCGATGAGAGAGCTTGACTTAGGAAATAAGATCAGACCCAGCTGGATGTGGTGGTGCACAACTTTAGCCCCAGCACTCGGGAGGCAGATGCAGGTAGATCTCCGAGTTTTAGGCTAGCCTGGTCTAAAGAGCAAGTCCCAGGATGAGCAGGGCTACACAGAGATACCCTGTCTTGAAAATGAAAGGGAGGGAGGGAGGGAGGGAGGGAGGGAGGGAGGGAGGGAGGGAGGGAGGGAGGGAGGGAGTGTAAGAGGGAGGGAGATTGGGCAGATTAAGGAATGCTCAGATATTGACCTCTGACCTCCACACACATGTAAACACACACCTCCTTCCTCAACATGTGGCATATGCACCTACATACACACACAAAAAAAATTCTGAATATGCAGTTTAGATAGAGTCCCTTCAAAAAAGAAAAACTCCTTCACTGGCTTTAGGAGATCTTCTAACGTGGAACTGTTGTTTTCCTAATAGCCTCTAAATCACCATTAAATCACCCGCTCTAACTGTTAGGACAAAATCAGACAGAACACACATCGTTTGACAATTATATTGTTTTCAGTTTTTGTCATCTGTGGTGTTAGGATAAACATTCTCACTAGTTTTGTCTGTCTTGCTTTATTTGGAGTAAAGACTTAGAAGTAGAATGGCCAAAGTAAAGTCCGAATTTTGAGGTATCCTAAAGACATTTTCCAGGGGCTCATTATTTTGAGGCATATAGTAAAAATGTAATCAGGATACAGAGAGAAGCTGGATGGTGGGGCATGCCCATAGTCCCAACTGTCTTACTCACGCAGCTTACTCTGTAAGCTGAGGCAGGAGATCTCCACTAATTCAAGGCAGGTCAGTCTGGACCACACAGTGACACACTGCTTAAAGGGGAGGCAAGGGATAGAGCACTTGCTTCGTCAGTGCAAGACCCTGGGTTGTCCCCTTGCCACAGAAAGTGTGTGTTTGTGTGTAGGGGTGCGTGTGTGCGTGTGTGTGTGCGCGTGCATGCATGTGTGTGTTTGCATGCGTGTGTGTGTTTGTGTGCGTGCGTGCGTGCGTGTGAAATACCTGCGTTTTAATCCCCTCTCTGTGATTACTGCTGTATGTTCCACGCAGGTTACCTGGCAGGTAGAGTTAGTCACTGGGTGACATGTGATTAAGTGCCTCGGTGAGCAGCCATTATTTTAAAATGACCCAGATGCTGGAGGAAAGCCACCTGGCCTTAATTTCCAGTCCTATGAAAATGATGCTCGGGCCTGATATTTCCCTGCACATGGCTTCGATTCTAAAAGGAGGGCAAACTAACTAGATGATTATTCCTTAATTAAACTGGAAAGGAAACGGTGCCTGTGGACAACTGTTGAGGCAAACTGCTCATTTCTGCTGAGTGACTTCAGACTTGGGCGCTGTCCCTTTGATGTCACGCAGCATTCATGTCAATAATCGTCTCAAGGGTTAAGTTCCTTTACTTTATGAAAAACTCCTGAACCTCTTTGTTCTTATTTCAGATTGACCACAGCAATGTGCAATGAAGTAGCCTCCTTATCGAAGAAGTTTACAAATTCTCTAACCACTGTTGGGGTAAGAATACAGTTTGGACCATTTTCTTGCATTGTTTAGGGAAGCAGAGCTGTGAAGAGAAGTCAGGAATATGACACCTTTGGAGACAACTCCATAAGTAGAGCTGTGTCATGCTGCTTGCTAAAATCAGGCCGAGGGTTCTTCTCCATCTGGGCTGTGGGCTCCAGTCTGCTGTCTGTCTGAGTTGTGGACTCCAGTCCACGTCCGTCTGGGCTGTGGGCTCCAGTCTGCTGTCTGTCTGAGTTGTGGACTCCAGTCCACGTCCGTCTGGGCTGTGGGCTCCAGTCCACTGTCCATCTGGGCTGTGGGTTCCAGTCCACTGCCTGTCTGGGCTGCGGGCTCCCGTCTGCTGTCTGAGTTATGGGGTGAGTGATCAGATCTTTGTGGGCCTCATTTCATTCATACATCAAAAGAAAGAGTGTAAAATGGAGGTTCTTTTCCATTGCTTATCATCTATGATTTCAATACTCAAGAGTCGCTACTAACACAGTTAACTTTAAATATTATCGCTCATATTGTCCTCTCTATTATAAGTTACATATGAGAAGAGTTTCAAAAGAAAAACAAAATGTCAATTAAGATCTAAGTGTTTCTGTTCTCAAGATAATAGCTTTGGAAAAACTCTCCATTTATTTCAATGTGTGGCTTCTGATTACTTATCCAGGTTGCTTTTTTCTGTCCCTTTTCTGGTCCAGGTGATCTTTATGGGCTGGGAAGATGGTTTAGTAGATAAAGGCTTGGATGTGCAAGGATGAGAATCTGAGTTCAGATCCCCAGAACCCCCCTGCAATGTCAGTGTTGGGGGGGGGGACGGGACTAGGGGCTCCCTCAGGTCAAGCTGGCTAGCTAGAGTAGCCAAATTGACTAGCTCCAGGTTCAGCAAGAGAGCCTGTCTCAGTAAATAAAGTAGAGTGTGATTGAAGAAGACCCAGCATCAACCTCTGGCCTCCATGCCTATGTGCACACACATGTACCTCCACACTACACAGTTATACATGGCAGGAGAAAGAAACTGGTCATATTATAAAGCCCCGTCTTCACAGGGTAGTAAGAGGCAAGTGGGAACCATTTCTCTTCAACCTTCCTACTTCTCTTTTAAAGTCCTGGATGCAAGATCTGGTCCTCCCCAGAGACACAGGAGACAGGTTTCAGTTAGGGTATCTGATTGCAATGTAGAGTTTTCTGGGGATGCCTGGAAGTCCGCCACCAGGGTTCTGCTCTCTCCTTGGCCTCTGGGATGGATATATAAATTCCTCAGATAAGTGGGGGGCTTTATGAAAGGCATTGGAAGACTGTGCACAGCCCTGGGGACCCAAGAATAGAGCTCACCCAAGGCTCTGAAACATTGCTTCTTCTTTCCCATTCCTTTCCCCTGGGTGCGAACTTCAGAAAGACCATTGGCCAGGTCAGATGGTGTCACTCAGCAGTGACTGGGGACAAGTGTCACACAGACTAAACAGCTGCTGTGACCTAACTGCGCATTAGGTCCAAAGCAAGTTCTTAAAAGAAGTAGGATATCTGTCCCCACACTTCCATAAGTCAGTCTGATAAAGGGTGAGCTACAGGCCGCCCGTCCATTTTGCTGTCAGGAGTCTGGTTTGCTTGTCATATCTTGGCCTTATCTAATTTTGGGCTTTCAGCAATGGTGTCTCCTTGTCTGTAAGCAGAGTGATGGGCGGTGGACTCCATTGGTATGGCAGGAGAGATGAAGCACACTCTGTACTCCCAGTTACTTGGTGACAGTCTTTGGTGGGAATCGTGTGTTTACCCCGCAGCACAGGGCTGACCTCACCCATTCAGGGAACCCAAGTCCCAGAGAGGTGACCACACGCGTCCAGGCCTCTAGGTCGGTCTCTGGGCTCCTCATCGCAGCTCATCAAGCATCAGATAGCCAACTGTTGGGTGTCCCAGGGGTGTCTGTGGTGTTTATATGATTTGTGTTAAAAACAGGCTTTTCCCTGGGGTGGGTCGTGTTTGTGACAGTGTTTGCTTCTCCTTGTGCCATATCATACTCTAACATAGTGCTTCCCAAACCTTACCGATGACATCGACCATCTGGAGACCTCGATCAAATGCAGGTTCTCGCTCAGTCAGTCTATGTGAGCTGAGGACGGAGGTTCTGCTTTGGTAATAAGCCCTAGGGTTACCAAGCCCAGGTCCGTGCCTGAGCCAGGGACTCCACTGGCTGAAGCAAGTTTCCAGCAGGTGGGCATGTGCTTGGAATTAGAGTTTGTGTGAAGATACAAACACGCGCACAGACATTTTGTGCTGTCCGTTTGGAGACAGTGAAAGCTACTGCATCTCAGAAGGGAGCCTCCAGGGATGCCATCACACCACAGCAAAGCCCCTGTCTGCAGCTGTGATGAATCATACGCATGTCATTGTTTCTGTCCTCCAAAACAACCATTATTCATAACTTGAAACTAATGAGTGCGTATTGCTCTCCAGACTCCGTTTAAATTGCTCACACATCTCAATGGTTCTGAAAACCAATGCAATTTTACTGCCCTCGTTTTGATCACATCTTAGAGGTTTATCGATAATCCCATAAACGTGAAAGCATGTCCTGATAATGGATTTGCAGGTTGCTTACTAAAATGACTGCGTTTTTAAAGAGGTTCTCCCCCCACCTCCCGCAAGACTCCATTGCGGTTCCCTCAGCAAGGCCTAGCCCTCTGTAGAGTAACGCCATGCCAGCGAAGGGAGGCTTCTCTGGGAAGATATATTTAATTCATGTGCTTTTGTTTGCCATAGAGCCTCCCAGGAACGGCAAGGGAAGGCAGCCCACTAAGATGCCATATTAATGATTCATTGTTGGAGGAGTAGATTGAGCAGTTTAGAGAGGGAAGGCTGCTGATTGACAGCTGAATGGTACAAGTAAGGATAATGGTCGTCTCCGCCTTTCGGAGTGCCTGAAGTAGGGATTTGTTCTCCATGCTTAACACATCCTTGTGCTCTTCAAGCCTGATTCTGCAGGCGTGTTTGAAAGTTATATTCGAGGGTGTTTGCACCTTATTGCTCTTCCAGTAGATAACCTGGAACTCGTGTCTGCAGCGAGGTGGGGGAAGAAGGAAAGAGGGAACAAAGGGGATGAAGAAAGGACAGACAGACAGAATGGACTCCCAGGATAAATAAGGGAAGGACTTAACCCACCCAAAAATTTTGGAAAAGCCAAAATATGAAACTAAAAAAAAAAAAAACATACAAAAACTCAGGACCTGGAGCAATGACTCAGTAGTTAATAGCATGGACTACTTTTGCAGAAGACCCGAGTTCAGTTCCAAGCACCCACATAGAACAGATTACAACAGCCTATGATTACAGCTCCAGGAAATTCAGTGCCCTCTTCTGGAACCTGAGGGCACCTGCTCTTACATGCACATACTCCACACCAACACATATACACATAATTAAAAATGAGTAGAATGAAACTCTCAAAAATAAAAATCTCAGTAAGCTATACAGCTATCTTAATTAAAATGTGCGGTGAGGCATGATGCATGTCTGTAATATAGGATGGTGTCAGGCAAATTGTGCAAAAAGACAGGATCCAATCAGCTATAAACTTCCAACAATTAGAAAGATCTTAGTTTATATTTCTAGCAAAGTCAACTTGCACAGATTGCCCAACCTTTGGGACTGCTATTTCCTCATCTAGCCCCTAGGCTTACCACATAAGGAAGGTGCAGACATAAAGCCTGGTTGGTCTACAGTAAGCATGCACTGCTCTCCATCCCTCTCTCTAAGACCTCCCTCTGCAAAGCGGTGTCGTACATTTGATGTGCTAAACCTTACGGTATAAGCCCTTAATCTGTCAATTTTATATTTTCAATTTCACAGAGCAACAAGAAGGCTGAAGTCCTTAACCCCATGATCAATAGTGTGTTTTTAGAGGTAAGTAGCCCCCCAGAGAGAAAAGTACTCCAAATCAAAGCGAATGTCACAGCTCTGTTCTTTCTTTCTTCTTTCTCCCAGTCAGCAAGTGTTATCAAAAGTCTAAATTTTATCACCAGTAGTCTAACAGCCATGTGCGTGAGTGTGTGTGTGTGTGTGTGTGTGTGTGTGTGTGTGTGCATTTCTGTAGCTCAGCAGCTGTAAAACCTCTGGTGGAGCCACAATGCCTAATTTTCATGAATTCCTGGTTATAAAAGAAAATGCTGAGCTTGCAGGTTATTTCCTGCTTCTGTCTCTCCCTCACTCCCCCTCCCCCCTCCCGCAGAGGCAGATTTCTGCTGCCAAGTTTGACACTGTGATTATTGGCTGCCATGGAGGATTATTGCCCACTGGCAATTTCCATAAAGGCAGGCATTTCCCATCGTTCACGAAAACTTTTGGTGTAGCTGAGTCTAAGCTCCAGGTTAGCAAAAATGATGCAGCATGCCTTGCCCGTTCAGTAACAAGGGTAGAATACGTGATGAAGGCTCGCAGCCCAACCCACCTGCTCACTAGGACTTCATAGCATCAGCTGCACAAAGGGGAAGCTGTCCCGGCACTGCTGTGGCTCAGCCAAAACGACCCCAGTGATGCAAGAGAGAAGCAGCCCAAGATGCCTGCTTACTCTTAGAACTTGGGCACTGTGTTCTGCATGCGGTCAGAGGAGGGTCCTCCATGGGAGATGGGACTGTAAACCACTCGCAGTGGGTAGCCACAGGGCCGGACAAGCAGATGCAGGACACGGGCAATGCACGTACCACTGTCTTCACATTAGATGTCAACGGAAAGCTCGGAGACTACAAAGCATCAGAAATGCTGTCTATGGCAATATTGCTGGGCATTGTGCCTCGTTGTTAAGCAAAACCGTCAATGGACAAAAGTTAAAAGCGGTGGCAGTGTCATTGCCTAGGTCCCAGCCACACAATGGAATGGATCAACCAGAAGGGGCAGCAGCTACAGGGACACATCCAGTGAAACAGACACAGTTAATAGGAACCCTGGAAGTCAAAAATAGAAAATAGTATAAGAAAATCTACCTCCTGGAAAGCCAGTAGAGCTGTATACCAGCAACCCTAGCACTCAGAGGTCTGAGGCAGGAGGATGGTGAGTTCAAGGCCAACACAAGTTGTGTAGGGAGATTCTGTCTCAGTTCTCAGTCTCCCACCCCAAATCCCTGTCCTGGCTTCCAGATTAAATTGCACATTAGCATGGCAATTGACCATATTTGTGCACCACAAATATGACACCCAATTCTTATTCACTGACCCAAAAGAAATGTTCGTGTTCTAGATACCCTAAATTTCACCATTTTTACAATAATCTCCCTGTGGAGAGCTTTCTAAAAATCCTCTGTGGTTTTGGCTGTAGTCTCCTTTGTCCTGTGATTTTAGGGCCATAAGGTAGACCTGAGAAAGGGGTGGATAATACTGGCCACACTGGGCTGTGGATCTACACATACTGGCATCCCTTAAAAGCCCGTGGCAATGATTTATCTCATTTTGAATGAAGTCCCTTCATTAATTTACATAATTAAGACTCAGGCATGTGCCATCCAAAAACATGTGTTTGCATTTGCTACACGGATGAACATTCTAAGAATTTCATGATGTAGTTTGATGGTTGGCGTTCCCTCTCCTCAGATGGAAAAGAATGTTGTCAAAAGGTGACAGCCATTGAAGCTGAACTATGAAACGATCTCTCAGCCCCATTTTTGCATCTTGCAGGGCTGCAATAGCACCACATACATCCAGGACGCCCTCCAGCTGCTGCTCCCGGTATTGCAGGTCTCCCACATCCACACCAGCTGTTCGAAGATGGAGACCCAGCCAGACTCCAGCTAGTTCGGGAGTAGGCCAAGCCTCTTCACTAAACACCTTTTAAAGGCCTTGGTCTTCAAAGTCACAGACGGGACCACTCATCTGAGGACACTACAAGCAATTTTGCACAGTTTTGCAAATACAGAGAGTTAACTTTTCCCTTAATGTATATTGTTGTTTTATCAATAATTGTATTTTCTTTATATTAACTTAAACTTATACTTGTTATATTGAAATTTTCCTTTAATTTTCAGTTCCTTCATAAATATGTGTTTTCCTAGTCGAACATGCTTTATTTAGAAATTCATAGGAAGACCCTAGATTTTTGTTCATCTTTGAAATGTCTACCTTTAAATGCCCTATTTTTCTAAAACATGCCTTTAAGTCAGTTCTTATACTGAACTTCATTTTGTTGCATAAATACCACAAGCAAAAATAACACTACTTATTTGGTTTTTAAAAAGGGCATGAATATATTTTTGTGGTCCTTAGTTTTGTGACAAGATTTACTGAGCACCTACTATGTGTATTCCATAAAGGATGTGACCTTGCTCCAATAGACATGTTCTAAAAGATGATTTATAATAACCCTTGACATATTCAAAGATATTAAGATGTTTTCTAAACCTTAAAATACTTGAAGAACCAAGTAAACTGGTAGTTACTTAAAATGTGCTACCCTTCAATTTATTACAGTTTTTCAACCTCTTTGAACTTCTTTTAAATACCAAAATTACCTCTAGGGTAAAAATATGTATGAAAAGATATTTATTTTTGAGACAGGATCTCACTATGTAGATGGCTAGCCAGGAACTCTTTATGTAGACCAGGCTGGCCTCAGATTCACTAGGATCTGCCTGCCTCTGCCTCCCAGGTACTGGGGTTAAAGGTGTGCACAACCACACCTGCCTGGCCTGAAGACGTATTTTAGTTTAGGGTATGCGGTGGCAAAATTAGAAAGCTTGAATGTATTTCAGTAGAAAATTAAAGCGGTTTTAGCATAGTAGAAGCCCAGACCTGCATTCCAAAACTACCCACTAACCTGATTCCACGCACTGTGGTGGCAAGGGTAGAAAATACCCATGCGTGCTGGTATATTGGTTCAGGGAGATGCCTCGAAGATCTTGCAGCCGGCAGTAGCAATGCCGCACCTGTTCTTGGCAGGTTGGGAGTCTGTGGCATGCTTCTGTTCCAGACCCTCACTGACATTCGTACCAGCAGTGTCCAAAATAGTCATGCCCAGTGGCTCTCCCAGGCAAATGATGCATGCAGTCTCCAAAGGGAGAAAGTCCCTTTGTCTTTCTGTGATAGAATCAACCCTCCCTGTTCCCTACATGTCGAGTAGATATCTGAAGTCTCTGCAGCATTTTTGTGTGTCCCTATTTTGTTTCTCAGCTGTTTGTCTCCTGAAACAACCAAATAAAAACGGAAGGACAATTTATTTGCGACCTAGAAAAAATAAAGTTCTCTTATAAAACGAAGGAAAGATTCACGTCTCCTTTTCTGACACCTGGAGTGTCTCTGATGTTAAGTATGGTGGTGATTAACTGGTAACAATGTCGCATTTGCCTTTATGACTTCTATAATTCTTATGTATAAAGCAGAAGAAAAATCTAGATGTGGACATTTTTTTTCACATCAGATGGGTTTGTACATTAACTAGAAATATAGAAGAAAAACACATGCCGCAAATGAATTCTATTCCCAGACTTGGTCTCTCAGCCGTCAGTGTTGGGGTGGTGGCTCAGCAGCAAAGTGTTGAGAAAAACGTAAGAACCTGGGTTTGGATCCCCAGCACCCATATAAAATCTGGGTGCACACCTGTAATCCCAGCAGCGGGTGATAGAGACAGGAGGACCCTGGGGCTCATGGTCACCTAGCCTAGTTGATGAGCTCCAGGTTCAGTGGAAGGTCAAGTCTCAAAAAAAAAAAAAAATAACATGAAGAACTGTAGAGATGGCCAAGGTGGATCTGTGACACGCGTGCCTGCCCAAATATGTGTGTGCACCAGCTCAAAACACATGGTGGTGTATGACTGTAATCCTAGCACTCAGGAGCTAAGGCAGGAGGATCAAAAGTTCAAGATCATCCTCGGCTACATAGCAAGTTCAAGGCCAGCCTGGGCTACATTAGACCCTGTTTTTAAAACGCTATCTAAGCATCCATTTATTGTACAGCAAAAGTTTTAATTATACAACAAAGTTTTTAAAAACGCTTTAAAATAATAGATAACTATTTTTAAAGAAAGCAACATTATTGACATTTCACTTATTGTTTTTTAATAAAAAAAAATATCCAAGTTACCAAGTGGAAACAGGAACTGAAAGTGTTTCCTGATCCATGGTCTGTAAATTAAACTATTTAAGAGAGATAATCGCTGACCCATTGTCTAAGGTTTCTCTCTCTCATTACCGGCTTCCACCGCCACTTTGAAATAATTGCTGCTTTGCTTTGTTTTGCTTTAAAAGCTGTCAAAACCCATGATGGAGACCTGGGGAAATGTGAGTCTATTACGGAATGAATGACTCAATAGGCTTACCAGGGAAGTTCGGTATTCTCTCAATAATACTTTACATAAATTAGCTTCGTTGCACTGCACACAATTACCCTGAACAAGCAATGCCAAATTTTGCATCAAGTACAAAATAAATTCTGATGAAAATATTGAACATAGCCCTGCGTATGTGCCCTATTAAATAAAAAGCATCCAAAGCACGTTTCAAAGCAAAGAACATTCAAGAAAAATTTGCTTTGGGGTATTGATACATACAGATCTAAAGGACAGAGTCCCAGCAAGAACAGGAGTGTGTGCTATTTCTGGTCTCACGTGAGCTGGCGTTCTAGCAGCAGTGTGACTTTGCTGAAGCTGGGACACTACACACCAGCAAAGAAATGGCCTCCCTCAGACCCAGAGGGACCAGGAACGTGTTCACACTTTTCATCTCTGCAAAGGAGTGGCACACCGTGGATGCAGGACCAGGAGTGTGTTCACACTTTTGTGTGCCTGCGCCCATAATACCTGGCAGAAACTACTTAAGGAAAGAACGGTTTTCTTTGGGTGCAGTTTCTAAAGATTTCTGCCCATCCTGATGGAGAAGGTACAGTGAAACTGGGTGGTGTGTGGCTGTGGGAGCATGTGGTGGAGGCTGTTCACATCACTGCAGACCAAGGGAGCTGAGAGTCCAACAGGAACTAGAGGAAACCTTCAAAGGCCCCTAAGGGCACTCTCTCACCAGCTAACTCTCTCCCTCCCACACACCACACCTAAAGTTTCCAGGTCCTCTCTCACAAAACAAAACAACAACAACAACAAACATGACACCAACTGGGGAACAAGCAGTCCAAACGGGAGCCTGGGGTAGGGGAGGAGCACATTTCAGGTTCATCCCATAAGAAGGAAGCATTGACAAAGCACTGGCTAAAGGAACGTGCAAATTAGCAGATAGAACCCAATGCAGGAAGGAGACATGTTCCTGTGCTGGGTGGAAATCACGTGCTCCAAGGTGCTTATAATTCCAGAGAGGCACCAACGCAGGCTGGCCACGCTGTCTGAGATGCACTAGCGCAGGCTGGCCACACTGTCTGAAACGCACTAGCGCAGGCTGGCCACGCTGTCTGAGATGCATTAGTGCAGGCTGGCCACGCTGTCTGAGAGGTACTAGTGCAGGCTGGCCACGCTGTTTGAGAGGCACTAGTGCAGGCTGGCCATGCTGTGCCTGTTTGAGGTATAAAATCAGACGAATCCACTCAAGTCTACAGAAGTTTGAAGTTATCGCTGCATTTCTCTTTGTCCTACAATGAAGTGCTGTGTGTGTGCTCACATGCATGCACGTGCTGAGCAGATGAGGTTGGCCAGGCTACAGTACTTCAAATGGTACTTCGTTTTATAAAAGTAATTACTCTACAGGGCCAAACTTGGGTTTTTGTTTGTTTGTTTTGCTTTTGATAATGTAAGAAATTGCCCTTTGGTCCTCCTCTTAAGAACATTACATTCTAATGTTCAGATCTGGGCTTCACCTTGGCTCCTTAAACTGCCGTGCTTGTAAAGGCACTTCAGAAAAGACCAGACTGAAAATCCATGTGAGAACGGCGATTGGGTCCCGGTTCTGTAGTTGATTGGAATTCCTAATGGCGCAGGAGTGGCTTCAGACCAGCCATTCTTCACACGAAAGAAGACAAATGAGGTGTTTAACTGTGTGTTTTGTCTTCTGAGCTATCTCATCCCTTAGGCAGGTTTGTATTTATTCTCTGTGTGTTCACCCACACTAAATGATCTTCCAGAATATCTGCCACTAAAAAGGTCTGAAGAAAAACATCATTTTCTTCATTCTGTTGTCTTCCATCCTAAAATCACGGAGTTATTGCACACTTTGAACGTGCAGCCTTTATAATCAAATTATGACAACCCAAGTAGTGAGAATCATTGATGGTATTCCTACTACTGCCAGTGTCTGAGGCCATCACAGATCTGGAACAGAGTCTGACTGCAGAGGGTTAGATTTTGTGTTGAGATCTGAGCTAAATTTACCCTTGTCTGGATCACAGAGGATTTTTCTCTGCAAGAGCTGTTGGCCAAAAAGCAATAGGATTATGTCAGCCTGTAGTGACTGCAGCTCACCTGACTGGCCCGCCTCTCGCGTTAGTCTCGAAAGAAGTTTAACCTGAAAAGAATAACACGTGGATGTCTTCAGTGCCTTCACCGAGTGCAGACATTTGGAGCGATTCTGAGCTGATCTGTCTTCCTGCCCTTCATGGTCCACAGGCAAGCTTCTCGGATGCTATTTGGAAGAAAAAGCCAGTGTGGACGCCAAGGCCAGATGGGTGAAACCTTGGCACAAAGCAAAGCCAAGCTCTGCCTTTGAGTCCTTGCCATCTCTATCCTGTTTCTTTAGCAGGTTTTTTTTTTTTTAAGCCATTAAAATGCACAGCTTCCAAGACCAGTTGTTTTTTGTTTTTTAACGATCTGCCCATCTTTCCCCGCTCCCGGCACTTCTTTCTCCCCATTTATCAGAAAACCATCCACTCAGAACTCCAACCATGATCATTAGTGCACACATACTGTATGCTGGGCTGTGTGTTGGGCGCTCAGTGCATGGCCCCATTAAATATCCACAGTCACCCAACTGGGCAGATACAGACTATAATCTCCACCACAAGAACAAAATCACTAAGACCCAGACAGGTTAAGAACTGGCTCCAAGTGGCACGAGTAGCAGCAGAGCCAGTATTTGAACCCAGGTCAGTGACCTCACTAGCTAGCATTTGAACTACTGTATGGAGCCACCCAACAAAAGAGGAAAGTCTTAGGGAGATCTGAATGTTCAGGTTTACAGGCTTATGATGTAGGATTCCCCTCTGTATGCTATGAGTATGTTTATTGCCATTGGTTAATTAAAAAAGCCAAATGGCTTAACAGAATATAGCCAAGCTGGAAAAGATATAGAGAGAGAGTAGGCAAAGTCAAGGAGAAGCCATGTAGCTGCAGAAGGAAAAAGATGTCCTCTGGAGCATTCCAGAGCTTTACCGGTAGACCATGACCTCATGGTGATGCACAGATTAACAGAGATGGGTTAATTTAAGATGTAAGAGCTAGCTGGAAATATGCATAAGCTAATAGGCCAAACAATATTGTGATTAATACAGTTTCTGGGTGATTATTTTAGGTCTGGATGGCTGGGAAACAAACGAGCAGCCTCCGACTAGAGGCCTAACTCTCTAAAGCCCTGGGGTAGGTATACAACCAAAAGCTTTAGTTGTGGGCTTTGCTTCTTTTCAAGCAGCTGAGAACAAACAGGGTCTAGAGAGACCAGATTGGAGCATGTACAGTTATTTGGTCCCTGGGTGGCTTTCACCACAGGTTTTTTTTTTTATCCTTTCACAGACATTTAAACCAAGCAGCTTACCTGTCCTGTCTCCCAGGTGCCTCTGACAACACGAAAACCTCTCCATTTCCTTTTCCCTCCCTGTCCCCTTCTCTGGTGCCAGGGAAGCCAGTCTGTAACCAACACCATTTCTGGGCATTGAACATCTACTGGCTTCCTGGACCATGGCTGTTTTTAATCCTCTCCCTTGTCTAAACCAGTTTTAAGTTGCGTCTTCAATACTGCGTTTCATAAGATTTTGGAAACATTAAAAAAAAAAAATGCTGGCAGATGCCTCCTGCCCCCTGAACTCGGCATTGCTGCCAAGACACAGTGGTAGTGCTGGTAATAGGGGTGGGGATGGTGATGACTGCAGAGATGACAGAAGCAAACTTAACTACGCCTGGTATTTCAGACACCTGATAAAAACACTCTGCCTCCCATCTCATCTAATCCCCCACACCCATCTCATAAGGCAGCTACTATTACTAGCGTACCCATTTACAGAAGAAACACCTGAGTCAGAGATAAGATAAGCCGCCTGTGATTAGCCAGCTAATAACTGCAAGAGCAGGGATTT